AAGAAAGAAAGAAAGAAAGAAAGAAAGAAAGAAAGAAAGAAAGAAAGAAAGAAAGAAAGAAAGAAAGAAAGAAAGAAAGAAAGAAAGAAAGAAAGACATGTTTGTGTTAGAGTGTGTCTTTGTGTGAGATTACCTCTGAATCAAGGCATACGAACAGTAGAACATGACAAAGGTGACGAAGAACAGGAGAACTGGGAGAAGCCTAGGCCACCATACTGGAGCAGACAAAGACAAAAACAGAAGCAAACATATCAGGGTATAAAAGTAGAGTCAGTTTCTGGCAACACCTGAGAGACAATGCTCAGTCTTCTTCTATGCAAATTATGTTGTTTGCTTTTTCTGACATGCCATTTTGAAACAGGTGTACGGGCAATGCCAATGAAACTGATTTTCATTCAAATATCACTTTCCAAATTAAGACAAATGCAAAGGCTTATAGGAAACTGTCCATCTGCTAGGATTTATTTTTAACAGCAAAGAGTGAAGATCACAAATTACGATACGATGTTCTCAAAAATGGTTTGAATTCTTTAAATACACTGAAAAAACTTGCAAATCTCATAAACACATATTTTATTCACAACAGAACATATAACAAATGTTTAAACTGAGATATTCTACTTTTTCATGAAAAATATTAGAAAACGATGGCAACAAAGGGCTCAAAAAGTCAGTGGTGCTAAAAAGAAACAGCTAGGGGAACATTTTGCAACTAATTCGGTTAGTTGACTACATGTTAGTTACATGATTGGGAATAAAAAGAGCACCTTAGAGAGGCAGTTTGACAGAAGTAAAGCTGGGCAGAGGTTCATCAATCTGCAAAAAAATCTGTCTACAAACCATTTCTGAAATTTGAAAGTGTATATACAGGTTTAAGATCAACATATGCTCCAATCCAGAAAATGTGTCTTTCAGGAAAGGTTGTGCATATTTTAGCAAGACGATGCTAAACCACATACCACCTCTGTTACAACAGTTTCATAGCAGAAAAGTACATGTGCTGAACAGTATGTCTGTGAAGGTTCTCAGTCATCCAGGTCATTGTAGTCAAAGGAGCTTGCAAAGAAAAGCGTCTGGACTTCTTTAAGTTGCTTGAAGACGTTTCACCTCTCATCCGAGAAGCTTCTTCAGTTCTAAGGTCAAACATGTGAACATTGGCATCCCCTTTCGAGGATGCCAATGTTCACATCTTGGACAGAGAGGACAGATGGTTTGAAAGAGGAGTGAACGAAGCCATCTATGTCCACTGTGAGCGACCATCTTTGAACAGAGGCGGTGGTTTACGACACCAACTCTCTGCCATCTATAATCCAGTTTTGAGTTCCCTCCCCAGGCGCCTTAACGCCCACTCACATCCTGGGCCATCTGATCTCAGGAATTTGCATAATAAGGTGGGGCCAGGTTTCACAATGAGCTCACCCGAAACCCTGGCTGATTGGGACCCACGCCCAGTTTCACACCTTGGCTCAGGCGATTAGAGCATCATCAGGGGGTCCTTTTGTCCCTCTGTGGGGGGTCACTCCCACTAGGTTTAAATCAGGGACTCCCCACCATCTGACCTTAGAACTGAAGAAGCTTCTCGGATGAGAGGTGCAAGCTCCTTTGACCATGTGCTGAACAGCACTCCAAACCTTTCATCAACTGAAAACAGTTGATCATGAAACCAAAAATACAACAAAGTCAAAGAAGAAGAGAAACAAGGATACTACACAGTGGTAAACACAGCTGTTACCCAACTTTTTTGAACGTGCTGCTGCCACCAAATTCAAAATGACTTATTTTGTTCATAAAATGGCAAATTTCTAAGTTTCAACATTCAATATGTTTTCTATGTTCTATTGTGAATGACATATGGGTTCATTGCATTCTCTTTTTATTTACATTTTACATAGCACATGTATGGAATGAGGGTTGCATATGAGTATCATTTGATATACTGGACTTATGTTAATGTGCACTTGGGAGCATCAGAAGTTTTCTTTTTCTTTTTAACAACATCTCCATGAAATTACTCTAAAGCAGGGGTCGGCAACCCTAGGCACGCGTGCCAACTGTGGCACTTAACTGATGGCACGACCATAGCTGGACTGGCCATCAGGCATACCAGGCATTTGCTCGGTGGGCCGATGATTTTTTTTTGTAACGGTATAAATGAAAGGTGGTGGATTGGCCAGTTGCTGGCCGGTGTGTAAAAATAACTCAGTTGTTTGGTGGTGGCTATGGCGTAGCTTCCACAGATTCAGTAAAATTAACAAGTGGTGGAGGCTGGCAGGTGGACGAGGGAGAGGGGAGGCAGGAGGAGGAGAAACCCGAGGCGGCCACCGGTCTGAGTGTGAACTGAACTTCAGGTAAGAAGTTATGACTACAGTCCATCTGGTTGAGATATAAACCAAGTTTAGGTGCAGTTTATTTTCGTTGTGCTGACTTTTTACAGTCAGTTACAATAACTCGTACTGCGTGCTAGCTAGCATGACGGAGTTTCTATACAGCTGGGTGGGTGCTATGATGTTACTGATAGTGAACTTTATTTTATTTATAAGGTTAGTTAGTAGAGTTGCCAACCGTCCCACATTCAGAGAAATTATTATGCATTTCGTGTTGAGCTGAGAAGGGACGCAGTTTGTCCCGGACTTCAGCTAGAATGGAAAAAGACGGAGGTGGAGTTATTCTGTCTTTACGCTGCACAGCTGCCTCTTCTCTCATTCTCTCTCTCCTGTTGCTACTTTAATCATGAAACTGATCAATGATCAGCTGATTGGCTTTTCTCTCTTGTTTGTTTATCGCCCACTTTGCGCCAGAAAGAGGAAACTGAGGAGCTGTCCGCTCAGCGCAGCATCAGCACCATGGAAATACACGGATACATCCGTAGACTCGAGACACAATGCGTTTTTGGGACTTTCAGGTGTATGGACCAATGTTTTCTTTTCTGATCAAACCAGAAATCTTTAATGAGCAGCTGGATTTGTCTCGCATTAACTGGCTGAGTTAATACCAGTTAATGCAACATCGAAGCAGCTGGAATCCACAGCTGTGCGTGTTCATGGAGCTTGCATTTTCACCAGCTGGACATCACTACCTGACAAGTTTAACTGTCTTCACAACATTGCAGAGGCCTTATTGACAGTATTTGGCTCCACATTTCTCTCACATGAGTGTTAGAGATGGCACGATACCACTTTTTTATGTCCGCTACCGATATCATAAATTTGTATATCTGCCAATACCGATATGAATCCGATATAGTGTATTTTTTAATCAATAAAACTGTTTTTTAATATCTTGCTGCATTTTTTATAAGTTCATACTCAAGTTTAAATAAACAACAACACTAAAGCTATTCCGTTATACCTGTATGTAAAAAATACACTGCACCCAAAATATTTCATAGTTCAGCAATACTGATAAATCTAATAAACTTAAACCTACACAATCCTTCCTATTCTGGTATTTTAAAGAGCACTTAGCAGAAATATTAAGCAACCTAACTAATAGGGTTGCAAACTCCCAGCAAAAAAAAAAAAGGAAACCACCCCCCACCCTCCACCTCATGATGCTTAATCAACGTAATCAACTTTAATTTGATGCAGTGTGAAAACAAAAATGCACAGAATTAAATTATTTTTCAAGAATAATTAAATAGATTCAACATCTTTCTTCAACAGAACTGCAGACTGCACAGATGGTACCTTCCCAAAGGAAAAAGTACTATAGCTTACTAGGGTATATTAGACTTAACAGTTACTATATACAGTAATGGACTTCTATACATTTTACATCAGATTAAAACTTTGGGTGTAAGATTCAGATAATTATTTATTAAAAGCTCGACATTTTAAATGAGAATAAGAAAGAAAAGTATGTCTTTGTGCCCCATTTTCCCTGTTAATGCCCTATCGGCCCCCCTGGCTAAACTTTGCTAGATCCGCCCCTGCACAGTTACCAGCCGTCAGCTACGTAGAAAAAGATCCTGGTGTAGAAAGTAATATTAAATAAATTCTAACAACAGCTTATCAAGCTTAAACGTGCTGCTGTTGTTCAGCTGCTGGTTTCCTCTTTCTGGCGCGAATGTGTGCCAAAAAGCAAACAAGAGAGACGGAGTCGCGACAGGAAAGCCGATCAGCTGATCATTAATCAGTTTCACGTTTGAAGTAGCAGCAGGAGAGAGAGGGAGAGAGAGGCAGTCGCTCCATATATTGGTTGTTAAGCTTAACGCAGGAATGCTTTACAAACATTCAGAGATGAACTTACACACTTGCTTAACTTCTCTCTTGGATAACTTCCTCTGAGTTTGGTAGTGAGGTTCCAAATACACACAGCCGCTCTATCATGTGAGCACACTGCTCCGACGTGCAACGGTTATGGGCCGAGTTACGCCATGTCGCAAGTTTTGTGAGGTGCTTTTTTGATATTTAATGGATCGGATTACATTTTTTATTTCTCTCCGATATCCGATCCAGTAATTTACGTCAGTATCGGACCGATACGTAATATTGGATCGGTCCATCTCTAATGAGTGTCCTCGGGTAGCTGTCTGAATGCTGGACACTCGGAGACCTGTGTCTCTGAGTGGGAGACCAGAGATCAGATTAATATGTGTATTAACAAACATGCCATATTGGCCCAGTTTATTTTTCTTATCATTGTTGTGAGGAGACCATAAATAGCATTTGTATTTTTTGTTGTACAGTTAATTTGCTGTTATAGAGTTCTTGTTATGGATAAAAAGTGTCTTTTTTTGTTTCAAAATAGCTGATAACTATTCGCTGATAGCTGCCAACATCTGCAAACAAATATAATTCTATAAAGTGGTTCTATATAGTGTGTAACTGTTAACATAGAGCGTTATTAAATTTATTGCTAATACAATCATATGGTACACTGACTTCTGAGGAAATTTTAAATGGCACCCGCCATCAAAAAGGTTGCCTACCCCTGCTCCAAAGATTGCTGTGCTTGGACTTTCTTCTCATCAGGTTCAGTGGTAAAGCTACACTGTACAGTAAATAAAGGTTTTTTCCTGCTAACTGGACTAATAGCGGGAAGTTTGGGGCAATTTAAGGTGTGATTAAATATTTTAAGCTTCATCTATAACAAGGCATTGAACAATAAACCCAAGGACCATTAAAAAGAGAGTTTGGAAGGTAATTTTAACCACTGTCTTTCTGACAGTTAGATAAGGACTCCATTCAGTAATAAATTACAGCCAGTAAGTGCTGCACGGTGTTTGAAAACAGATAAATATACTTAGCCTGACTTAGCCTGATGCAAGTTTAAAAGAATACGTTGTAGTGTTATGAGTGGTTTATGTGCAAAAATACATGCAATAAATTATACACGGAATACATGGAAATTGCTACAAAATTCATTTAACGCTAAAGTTTTTAAAGTGTAAAGAGAAAAGCCAGCAACAGCCTTTGGTAACATTTTACAGTGGTTCGAAAAAGTGTTTCCCCCCCGTCTTAAATTCCCTATTTTTTTGCATATTTGTCACACACTTATATGTTTCAGATAATTAAACAAACGGTAATATTAGATAATATAAGATAAGCTGAGTCAAAACAAAATGTAGTTTGTAAGCGAAAAAAGTTATCAAAACCTATCTGGTCTTGTGTGAAAAAGTAATTAACCCTGCCCCCTTGTTAAATCATGAATTAACTGTGATTAAACAGGTTTTTTGTAAAGCTGAGTTCAGTTTCACTAAACACACTCAGGCCTGATTACTGGCAGACCTGTTGAATCATTCAAATAACAAGGCCTGGACTGCTTTAACTAACACGATTTGTATGCTGACTTAAACAGAATTATGGTTACTGTTTGACAAAGACTCACTGGTAACCAAATTGTTCTGATGATAAGTGATAGTACTGATAAGTTCTACAATATTCAAGAAGTCCAGTTCGACCTCTCAGTATCTCACATTAAACAACAGTGAATTTAGGGCATGTTAAAAATCCCAATCCTCAAATTTGCTGTTCACACAGAGAAAATCATAAAAAAGATCTTAAGACAATAAGTAAAAAAAAAATGCAATGAAAATACAACAACAGCATCTAAAAAACAAAAATAACAATCACAGACAGCAAAAAGGCTTACTTTTAGTTGCCTTCTGGGACATCTTCACATGCTCGCTGAGCCTCTCATGACTTCACAATATGTGGTCACCCTGATAGTAGGTACAGGAATAAGAAAGCTCAAATATTTGCACATATGACACTGCCTTTACTGTAAAAAAACAAAACAAAAAACAACTGAAAATGTGATCTGAAAGTCAAATGACATGAAAACTAAGATGTAGAGCATTTTGCACACATATGTAAATGTGTTCAAAGCATTTAAAAAAAAAGGATCACAACGCATTTCACAACTACAAGCAACAGCTAAAAATACTCTAAGTTAAAATTAAAACACACAACAGTGTGCACTAGCTAAAAGCAAACCTATACAAATAAGCCTTGAAGCGCTCTTTAAAACTTTCAATAAAGTCCAGAGATTTCAAATGTATTAGTAGTGCACAAGGTTATTGTAATTAGCTGAAACTAAACTAAAAACTAATCACAAAAAAACCATTTTAATTCACTAAAATAAGTATAAAATTAGACCTTTGAAAGACTCGTTAGAAAGTATAAAACTTTAATAACTCTAATAGTGCATTCCGTAGTTCACAAGCTCAAAGCTCATAATCTGTTTTAGTTTTCAGTCTAGAACAAAGTGAACCACCAAGAGGTTTAGGGTGAAAGTATTTCAAAATGACCTGTATGTATGGATGTAGGAGTTACAAAGGTTTTGATAAAACCAAAGAAGAGGCTGTGAAAAATTACATAACGTCAATCACTTTGATGCAGTTCTCACATCCAGAAGTTGTCTCACTACTCTTAATGCAGTTCTCAAATCAGAAACACTTTTCTCCCCACTCAATTGCATTTCTCATTATTTTTATCTACATATACTTCACAACTAAATATATTTGTAATTATGCTGATGCACTTCTTACTTGAATCTCACAACTCATCAAAACAGCTTGTACTTTTGTCAGTCAGAACTGTAGATACTTTATTTCCTTGCATTTTTTCTCAGTTGCTTTAGTAATGTTTAGATGTAATTTCTTACATCAGAAACATCATTCTCACCACTCTCCAAGCAGTTCTGAAAGTTATACAGTTAAGCATTTTTACAATTTTTTTTATACTTTTATTAAAAGGCATCTGAAGGACTTTCAGACCACGAGAAACAAAATTCTTTGGTTTGATGAAACAAAGATTAAAGTCTTTGGTCTGGATGCCAAGCATCATGTCTAGACAACATGTTCTCATCCCAACTCGTCACATACCCATGCGATAAGATAAATCGTCAGGATGTTACGCATTCAGAGGCATGAGAGCCGTTTGGAATGAATCTATACATGCAAATGTGTTTTACTCTCTGATCATGAATCGCTTTGGAAAACACTATCTGACTGGGTTAAGGTTATGGTTAGGGTTAAGGTTAGGGTAAGGGCTGGAGCGTGTGTTACCGCTGCGAGCAGCATTCTATTGGATTCAACTGAGAATCTGGAGCGTATCATAAGGACGCCAAAGGGTACCTTTCGCATTGCTATGAGATGCCTCGGGACATGACAAATTGCCGGTATGTCACACGCTAGGAAAGAGAATGCTCGGGTCTGGGGAAAACCAGGCACCGTTCATCACTGTGGAAATGCCATCCCTACAGTAAAGCATAGCATCATGCTCTGGGGATGTTTTGCAGCACCAGGAACTAGGACAATAGTGGGGGTAAATGGAAAAATGAATGCAACAATGTACAGAGACATCCTTGATGATAACCTGCTCTACAGTGCTCTGGATCTCAGAGTGTGATAAAGGTTCATTTTGCAATAGGACAATGACTTGAAGCACACAACCAAGATAAGAAAGTATACAAAACTAGTAAAAACTATAATTGGACCATGTCGGATTCATAATAAACTGGTCACTGAACGAAAGGATATAGTGTCATTTTTAGCACTTTGTGCTTGGTTCAGTAATGCACATCTTATCTATTATCTGATTTGTGACAGAAGCCAGAGTCCTTCAGAAACAGTTTAGCATGCCTGCCCATGCTTCAGAATCAGCGGAAGGAGTGCAAAGCAGAACGTCTATTTTAGGATACACATGGGTGCACATGCATTTGCTACATTAACAGTAATATAATACTGGTACAAATTTCTTAACACTGTAGGCCAGTCAGGGCACTTACAGTAAAAAAAATGGTTATCTCCCAACATGAAATTTAATATAATGCTGCTGCCAACTGAATCAGGGACGAGTTATATAGGTGTGTGTGTGTGTGTGTGTGTGTGTGTGTGTGTGTGTGTGTGTGTGTGTGTGTGTATATGAAGCCAGCTTCCTATCCAGCTCCAGATCCTGTGTTATTGTTCAGGAAAACACAAAAGAACTGAAGAATGTGGACAGGCGCACGCTTGTAACGCAACTGTATTTTCTTTGATAAAACACAGTTATTTTGTTTTCTCCTCTCCACCTCACTGTGGTCTCCTGCTGTCCACAGAATTACAGGATGAACATGTTCTACGCTTGTACTCATTGTTGTGCTGGACTGTTGTGGAGCCATTTGTTTGCTTCAGATGTTTCACTTAAATAAACTCAGTTACTCTCTGAACAAATTGATTTGTTAGTTCAGACATGAACTAAAAGCTGCTTCCCCGTTTCCTTTGCTAACCCTGCAACTATTTCAACAGTTTGTTTGGCAGTCGAGCCATAGTTTAAAAAAAAAAGACTTAGAGTTAAAATTGAACAGATCTTGCAGACATTACAATGATGTCAGATCGAGGTACTTCCTAAACACTGCCCGGATGTCACTGTTAGACTTTCTAGCAATACAAAGTTCAAGAATTGTTTTAGCATAAAAGGAGACAAACTAAAGCTTTCAACTCACAACCTCACACTTTTGGGCTCTGCACTATCCTACTAAGCTGATTAACCTGATGTTTATGTGATGCCATTCCTGAGTTTTTGCTGTTGACATCGCAGACAGAGAGGAGATAACTGTAACTGTAAGAGCCCTATGTGTTACGTTCACTGTGGACTTTCTGACAGAGCGCTCCACAGGGCCGTGTGTTAACACCTCTGCTTTTCACTCTGCTGACTCATGACTGTGCTAAGTCACACAACCTCAACCACATCATGAAGTATGCTGATGACACAACTGTGCAGGACATGATAAGCAGCAATGATGAGTCAGCATACATCCCACCCTTGCTCATCATCAACGGCTCTGCTGTGGAGATGGTTTGGACCACCAACTTCCTTGCACATAACTGAAGAACTCCTTATCAAAGATATCTCAGCAGAGAGTGAACTTTGTGATACAGCTGAAGGAAGGAAGCTTCCCTTCTCCCAACCTCACCACATCCTACACAAGCACCATCAAGAGCATTCAGGCCAGCTACATCACTATCTGACACGGCAACTGCAACGTATCTTGCCGCAAGCAACTGCTGTGGGTAGTGAGCATTACTGGAGCCTCACCCGCCACTACAAGAGGATGGAATACATATTGTGATTTACTGTTATGTTCTGGCTAATGGTATGTTCTGGTGCTCAAAACAGAGACGTACAGCTTTTGTGCAATCTTAAAAAATCCACAAAACTCTCTTAAAAACTCCTACAAACAGCTAGAAGCATGCTACTTTTGTGCTCACCGCAAATGAAACATTTTTATTGATAGTTACTTGAGATCAAATTGTCCAGATCAGCTAAATTGCCACTTAAGTGACATTTTCAGTGATACAGTGACATTTTTCACACTTCTACATTCAAAAATGGAAATACTGCTGTACGGAACATTAACAGAAATTTGGTTGGGTATGCAAGACCATTTTAAGACTTTTAAATGCACCATAATTACACATTCTCCTAACAAATGTCTTTATTAACACTTGCACACTGATCACTAAATGAAACAAAGCTCCTCAGGAACCAACCAGTGGTTTAAAACAAACAAACAGGACATCTTACCTTTTTCTTCTTTCATTTCAAAAGGCTGGGTCCTCAGTTGTTCCTATGTAATCAGTCTGGGATTTTCCCTGCAGTAAAATGAAACTGCGATCAGTCATATAAAGGCAAACAGAGAAAGCCTGCACAGTAAACATATTAACTTTTCATATCCTTTTCTCCTCGTCTCCAAACTAACTAAAGAACCATGTCCAAATTCCAGCTATGAAGAGAAAGTAAGCAAACTAAATAAGAAACATGGATAGCAAATTACTGTATTGCTGTGGGATGAATGAACTATAGATGCACAATAGCTGTCTGCGTGAGATACAGTCTAGAGGAAGGGTGGAGCGATGGCAGAGTGGAGAAATAGGCTGACTGGTACTGAAATAAAACTTCCACAGGATGTTAAGGGCAAACAGAGCAGAGCCAGATGAAGGTTTAGTCCTATCAGAAATGCCCTTCACCACAGATGCTCCTTAAAGTATCACTGTAAGTCTAATCATGGATCAGGAAAGAAATCCAGACAGACCACTTAAGAGGCCAGTCACAGACTGCAGTGATTATAGATGAGTCAGGCAGCTACCACGGAAAAGCACAGGGGAAGTAATTCCAGCAACAGTACTCCATGGGAAATTTGTTGTCAGTGATGTATTGGTTTAAACTGTTTCCACCAAAATTCTCAAGGAAAGTCAGGGCTGGCAAAGCAATACTTATCATTAATACTTAAGCTAATGTGATCACTGGTTAAGATAACTGCAACATATGTGCTCTGTATTTAAGGTTAGTTAAGGTATTCAAGGGGTTGGGAAGCTCATCTTGTAACCAGAAGGTTGCCGGTTTGATCCCCGGGTCTGTCTGTCCTGGTCGTTGTGTCCTTGGGCAAGACACTTCACCCTACCGCCTACTGGTGTTGGCCTGAGGGGCCGATGGTGCGATATGGCAGCCTCGCTTCTATCAGTCTGCCCCAGGGCAGCTGTGGCTACAACTGTGGTTTGCCTCCACCAGTGTGTGAATGTGAGAGTGAATGAATAGTGGAACTGTAAAGCGCTTTGAGTGTCTAGAAAAGCGCTATATAAATGCAATCCATTATTATTTTTATATTACTGTGTTACAGGCCTTGTGAGTAAGAATATGATCAATGGTAATTTCACTCACTCGTGTTTGCCCTGTTCATTCATTTTGAACCAGTGTGAGAACATGTCTTCGTACAGACATCACCATGATATCCTTGTACCCCGGGCGGATTCAATGGGTTTGTCATTTTCATACTTTAGCAAACAGATCACAATAACTACAGTAAACTTACATAATGTAACTGGATCTGACAATTAAAATAAATATTGTAATTTTACCATCATGTCGTGTCAAACTGTTAGGCAAAAAACAGAGAGCAACAGTTTTTAATGCAATAGTTGGAATCCACAAAAGTCAACAAGTATTTTAAAACACCCTGAGGAAAGACTCCTACAAACAGCTAGAAGCACGCTATCTGTATACCTCTGGCAGCAATAAGCATACTTAAGGGTCTTTTATGCTCACTGTAGAGTAAGCATTTTGAGTGATAGATGATAAAATATCAAATTATCTGGATTGGCTAAGTTGCCACATCAGTGACATTATCATAATTTCAGAATGTACAGTAGATCAGTGATTCCTGAGATTAGGGACAAAACAGGCTTTAATTTTCTAAAATATATTTTTTGATTTTTCAAAAATATATTTAAATATAATTGTTGCACAAAGTTTGGCTGTCTCACCAAGTTTTGGTCCAATCTCCCAGGTGTAACATTTTTTAATAATTTATGGTTTTTGCTGGAGAAGTACGGGGCTTTTGTGCCTTTCCTTTATGAAAAACTCTTTCTTCAACTCAGGGTGGCTGTTAATTTTTTTTCTCCTTTTTTGATACTCCCTGCTCCTCCTCTTTCGTTCCACTACTGACAGGTTCCCCTTAGCCATTCTAGCCTGAAATGTACCATTTTGTAATTACTATAATTTTTCTGAACCATATGCATTTATACAGATTAAGGATCAATATTCACAACACAATTATGTATTAAGCAATAGAAATGCTATCCGGTCTTTAAGTCTGATGTCATTAGCCGTTTCCAGGTCCAAACTCCGCTGCATATCCCAAAGTCAAAGGAACTCAGCAGCATCACTGCGAGTTACAAACTATCTAAATTCTTTCATCTTTAATAAAACGATCAGTGTGGCTGAGTTAGAAGTTAGCTAGCTGGTTTCCACCTACATTCCAACATAAATGAAGACAGAAAACTAAACAGCAGTGACTTTTGTCAGGTTACTGAAGTTGGACTAGCTGGTATATAATGATGTGCTAGTTGATCGCTAGCGACACAGCTATGTTAGCGTAACATAAACCAGGGTAGGACTGGGCCATATTATACCGTTCACAGTAATACCGGTATAATGTTAGGCAACGATAGGAAAATGAAATATCGCGATAGAATATGAGAAAACGCGCATGCGCAGTGCCTTTGTTTTCATACGCACATGGCCGATTGTTGAGTGAAACAGATGAACCAGAATTGGTTTGTAAAAATGGTGCAACTTCAGTGATGTGGAACTGGTTTGGTGTTTGTCCGTCAGATACACGACAAAGCACATGTTTTTGCAGAACATGCAAGCGGCTGTCATTATTGTCGTATTTGTCGGACTAAGATGCTCTTAAGTCTTGGAGTAATCTGGGTCCTAAACTCCGTATACTTCAGGTCAAACGAACACTGCAGCATCACTGAGTGTTCAAAACTGTCTAAATTCTTTCATCTTTAATAAAACGATCAGCATTGCTGCTTTACCAGGTGTAACTATGAAGTTTAACTTCCAGGCATCCATGAAAACAAAATTTATTACATTTAACGAAGTTAGAAGTTAGCAGGAAGCTAGCAGAAGTTAGCTCGCTAGTTTCGCTAGTTACCTAAGCATGATATAGTATGTTCTGACAGAGATTTCTGAAAAAATTCAAACGTACAGCTCTGCTATCACTTCCAACATAAATGAAGACAGGAAACTAAACAGCAGTGACATTTGTAGGGTTACTGAAGTTGGGCTAGCTGGTATATAATGATGTGCTACGTGATCGCTGGCGACACAGCTATGTTAGCATAACATAAACAGTGAAGCTGGAGGACGAACACTAACACTTTTCCACTTATAAAAGTTAACGC